CCTTCCCCTCCCCTTCCCTTCCCTTCTCCCTAACTGGGGATTTGAACCTATGGAATCCTGAACTACAGCTCTAGTCCTTTTTATTTTGTTTTGGGACAGTATCACCAGTTTCTCAGGTTGCCCTTGAGCCTGCGATCCTGTCTAGCCTCCCCAGTAGCTAGGATTATGGGCACCACTGTGCCTGGCTGGAAATGTTTTTATAAATTTTGTTGCTTGTTAGTTGGATCACAAGGAAGTTTCCTCAGATGTCTCTATTTGTGTTTTTTAGTTTTGTTTTGTTGCTAGGGATCCAGTGTTAGATAGGCAAGAGCTGTATCACTCCTGCCCTTTTTATTTTTTTAGTAAATGTTTGCAGTATATAATGATTACATTTATCTTGGGGAGTTGGTAAAATATACATAGTACAGCTTAATTCTTTCGTTCATCCCCTACACCTGCCATCCCTCCTTGTCCCTTCCCATTTACAAAAGCTATTTGCAATTTTTTCCTCAATTATTTTTCCATCCCCTCTTCCTCCCATCCCTCCTTCTTTTTCCATCTCTTGTTCCTCTTCCCATTTGAAAAAGATCTTCCTACTTCTTATTATCTCTTTTATTTTGTTTATTTATATTTTGGGTTTCTCATACAAGAGAAACCATGTGATATTTAAGCTTATGTGTCTGATTTATTTCACTTAATATTATGAATTCAAGGTGTACCTGTTTACCTTTGTAAGCCTGAAGTTTATCCTTCTTTGTGACAGAGTAGTATTCTGTTGCATATAAATATCACATTTTCTTAACACAGTCATCTCTTAATTGGTAATAGGGCATTTCCAAGATGTAGCTATTAGAAATTATGATGCTATAGCTGGGCATAGTGGCATATCCCTGTAGTCCCAGCACTGGGGAGGCTGAGGCAAGAGGATCACTGTGAGTTCAAGGCCAGCCTAGGCTATATAACAAGACCCTTTCTCAAAAAAAAAAAAGAAAAGAAAAAGAAAAAGAAAGAAAGAAAAGGGGGCCAGAGAAGTAGCTCAGCAGCACAGCACCTGCCTGGCAAGTGCAAAATCCTGAATCCAATCCCTAGTACCAGAAAGAAAAAAAAACTGATTCTATAAACATGGATATGCATGTATCACTGTAGTTTGATGATTTCAACTCTTTTGGGAAGATACCTAGAAGAGGAGTAGTTGAGTCAAATGGAATTTCTGTTTTTAATTTTTTGAGAAATCTTCCATAGTAATTATACTGCTTTAACTATATTGCTTTTCATTCCCACCAACAATGTAGGGAGATTCTGTTTTCCCTGCAGCCTCTCCATTATTTGTTATTATTTGATTTCTTGATTATGGCCATTTTTTGGGGGGGAGTAAGATGGCATCTCGGTGTTTTGGGGTTTGTTTTTTTTTTTTTTTTTTTTTTTTTTTGGTACCGGGGATTGAACTCAGGTCTTTGGGCTTGTGAGGCAGACGGTGGCACCACTGAGCTAAATTCCCAGCCCTTAGTGTTTTATTTGTATTTCTGTAATGCTCTGATATTGAACATTTTTTCATGTATTAGTCATTTGTACTTCTGAGAAATAATGCATTCATTTCAATTGATCATTTTTTCATTTTGTGGGGGGCTAATTTTTTTAAGTTCTTTATATACAGGCATTCCTCATTTAATGATGGAGTTATGGTCCTGCAACTTGATCATTAAATAAATTTGTCACTAAATGAGGAATTGTATATAGTATGTACATTACAATATTCAGGACAAAGAAATGGTAAAACTCCAATTTGATGACTGCTTTTATTTGCATAACACTTACAGTACTATAATGTATAACAACAAAACTACAGTACTGTATAGTACAATCAGCAAAAATTACAGTACTGTATGAACACGGTGTACTCAAAAGAAAAAAATTGAGACTATAAACAAGTACAGAGCTGTACAAAATAGGAAATGATGGGTTACAAGTCCAAACAGCATGCTTTAGTCCAGTTACAGTCATTAAACAGGTACAGTAGATCAGTAAAGGAGGACTGTCTGTATCTATTTTCTTTAAACCATGAATAGGTGAGCTGAGCATGGTGGTGCACACCTGTAATCCCAGGACCCAGGAGGCTGAGGCTTGAGGATCCCTATGAGCTCAAGGCTTGCTGGGCTACATAGTGAGTTCAAGACCAGCCTGAACTACATAGTAAGACCCTGTCTAACAAAAATAAACAACAACAACAACAAATTATGAATGAGTGTTGGATTTTTTTTCAAAGATTTTTTGGGGGCATTTATTGAGATGATCATGTGAATATTGTCCTAGTTTTTATTTATATGATATATTACAATTACATTTATTGATTTGCATATGTTTAACCAACCTTGCACACTGGAATGAAGCTTGCTTGGTTATAGTGTATAATCTTTTTGATGATTTGTTACATTCTATTTTCCAGTATCTTGTTAAAGACTTTCACATCTATGATCATTAGAGGTATTACCCTGTAGTTCTCTCTTTTGGTTGGATCCTCGGTCTGTTTTTGGAATCAGCATGATGCTAGCTTCCAGTAATGACCTTGGGAAGACTCCTCCTCTTTTGATTTCATTATGGAGTTTGAGGAGTATTGGAGTTATATCTTCCCTAAAGTTCTTATGGAATTCAGCATGCATCCATCTCATCCTGGGCTTAGTGGCTGGTTTTTTGTTGTTGTTGTTTGTTTGTTTGTTTTTTAACAGCTTTGATTTCATTGCCTATTTTTAGATTATTCAGGATTTTTAAGTCTTCTTGGTTCAGTTCTGGTAATTCAAGCATATCTAGGAATCTTTCCATTTTTCTGAGTTCTCCAATTTATTGGTATACAGGTTTGTGAAGTACAGTGGTTGCTAATAATCATCTGGATTTCAGCAGTGTCCTTTGTGATTTCACCTTTTTTATTTCTACACTTGATCTTAGCCAAAAGGCCGAGAAGCGATCACCTTTTTTATTTCTAATCACACTGATTTGTACCTCTTTGTGGGTGTGTGTGTGTGTGTGTGTGTGTGTGTGTGAAATTGGCTGAGTTTCTCCATTTTGTTTATTCTTCCAAAGGACCAGCTCTTTGATTCATTGATTCTTTGAATTGTTTTTTTTTCTTAAGTGTCCATTTCATTGATACCTGCTGTGATCTTTATAATTTCCTTTTTGTACTAGCTCAATTTGAATTGTTCTTGTTCTTGTTCTCGGATCTTGAAATGCATCATGAAGTTATTTGTTTGGGCTCCCTCAGTTTTTCTGATGTGAGCATTCATAGCATCCTCCCTCTTAGGACAGCTTTCATTGTGTTCCGTAAATTATAGTATGTTGTATTGGTATTGTCATTTAATTCTAGGAACTTTCATATTTTGTCTTAATTTCTTGTGTAACTCATTGATAATTCAAAAATGTTTTGTTTAATTTTCATGCATTTGCATAATTTCTGTGGTTTCTTTTGGCATTGGTTTCTACTTTCAT